TCCAATATGTGGCCTTGCTCCTGGACGCAGGCACAGAAACCAGGCTTTCAGAGACGAGCTCTCACGTCGCCTGGAAGAACGAGGAGGGCCCAGCAATGCTGGTAGATCACCCTCAAGTCTCTGCTGCTTGCTCATTGTGCTGTTATTATGCTGTATTCATACATTTAAACTTAAAGCAATTGGAGATGTTTTCTTTTTTGTATGTTACTCAGTTTAAACAATCTTTACCATATCTGATTCTCATAGTAGATGACCGAGTTCTGATGACTCAGCTTATAGAAAGCCTTCCAGATTTACCTACTTGCGAGCTGGTCGACCCAGCTGATGACCAGACGCTGCCCCGCATGATTGAGGTCCTGGAAAGGAGGCATCAAATCCGACAGATGATGACAGAACAATTCAATAAAAATGGTACAGGCCATTTTTCTCCATCACGCAAAGTTTGGAATTCCAGGATTAGGCTGTTAGAGCAGATTTATTCGGTACAGCAGTGATGCATCAGTCGGAGTGTTTTCAGTATCTAAATCGTTTTTCTGTGATATGGAATGTTTTTGTTTTCACAAACAAGTAACATTTCTATTTAAAAATAAATATAAATCTACATCTGTTAATATCAGTGTGCTTCTTCCTACAGCTAATACAGTGAAATCCATGCTGCAGCAGTTTGACAGCCAGCTCAGTGCAAAGGATTACTTCCTTCACGATCAACAGAGCAAACTGAATGAAAAAGACAAAGTCATTCTCAGTCAGAAAACGGAGATAGAACGACTGGAGAAAAAGTCCAAAACGTTGGAGTATAAGGTGTTGTCTTCTTTCTGCAACTGACACAAAACACATGTTCTTGGAAATGTGCATTCAGTTAATTTTCTTTTAAATAATGGCCTGCATTTAACTGTTTGTGTACGCTGCTCGTCTTCAGATCGATATCCTGCAGAAGACGACGGACATGTACGAGCAGGACAAACGTACACTTCAGCAGGAGCTGGAGACCCGGGACCACAGGCTACAGAGCGAGCTGTCAGAGAGGAAGCGCATGGAGCAGCGCATGCAGGGCGCGGTGACGGACACCAGACTCAAGTGGGAGAAGGAGTGTGTAAGTTGTTCACTGTTTTGAGCCATTAGGATATCAGGTATTGTAAATTATTTTTCTGCAATCAAATGTTAATTTGCACAATTATAAGTTATATGTTAAAATTGCATTTCAAATATGCATTGAGAGCCCTACTGTTTGGAAACATTTGTATGGGTACACACGGAGATTAACCCACATTATCTACCAAAACATGAACAGTGCAATGTAATTATACCAAATTATACTAAACTCCACTTGGTAATGTCCCTCAGATCGTTAATGTAAGTTTGTAATTCCAATTGTTAGATATGAAACAATCAAATAAGACTTAAAATATTTTCTTGTCCACGGTTTCTGATTAGGAGAGACGGGTGAACGCAAAGCAGCTGGAGATGCAGAACAAGCTGTGGGTAAAGGATGAGAAGCTGAAGCAGCTGAAGGCCATAGTGACGGAGAGCAGCAGCGGTGGCAGCGCTCCCACTGAGCGTCCAGAGAAGCCCGAGAGGCCCTCAAGGGAGAGAGATCGAAACATCCAACAGAAGAGGTCTCCCTCTCCATCACCACTTCCTGTGAGTTATTTGCTGATGCTGCATGTTTCGCCAATGTGCACCTAATCATTTTGTCAACCCGATTGAATCAGCATGTTTCTAATCATTGTGAAAATCATGAGCAGGAATCCTGACATCTATACGCTTACTGGTTACATCACTTTGTTTTCTACTTTGTCTGTTGCTCTGTTGTGAATTTGTGTTAATCTGGAGCACCTAACATCCACAATACCTCATCCCTTTCAGGATTTCAGCCAAACTCCTTCCCACCAAAATAAAGCCAGAGTTAGGGTGTTTCAGGACCCCACCTCCACACCATCCTCCTCTGACTATACTTCAGTAGCCTCCAGCATCTCTAGGTGGGAGCAGAGGTTCCCTGTAGATTCAGGCAGCCAGAATAGGTTCACCGGGACTCCCCAATGCAGGAGCCGGACTCC